GGCAGCTCACAGCGGGCCGGTGCTAAGACTGCGCACCCGGCGCCGGCTGCTGAGACTGCACCAGCATGCCGAACGGCGCTGCAGCGCATCCTACCACACGACGAAAAAGAAGGGTCGTCCAGTTTTGGCGTCGAGCTACAGAGTGCGGCGATTGTTCGGACCAGCCTGCCGAGCACTGCCGGTTCAGGTGAATTTCAAGGTGTGTAGGTTGCAGTCCACAGGAGGCAACGCCTTCGAAGCCAGAAGATCGGCCGCAACCCTGGCGACTGCTTGTTACATCTTGGCAGCAAGAGCCGGGAGGGAGCCTCAGCCTGTGACTGTGACCGCGAGAGGCCGGTGGAGGGCGACGGTGGCTTGGGACAGGCCGCCAGCTCTTTGATTCTCTGCCCTGGCGGACTGTGACATCTATCTGTCTTGTGAGCGCCTTGAAGCCTGGGACCTCAGGGCTTCAGGTTTCTCGGGGCTTCTCATGTGTGAAAGCAGGGGGAAGAAGCTTTCGCCTTAGCTCTCACAGCAGAGCCTCGGCTCGTGGCTTCTCCAGGATGCTCACGGGCCCTTCTGTGGTGCACCGCTGGAGGAGGACCCGGGCTCTTTTGCATCCTGAACATCCTCTGCCCGGGGCTCTTTCACGAGAGCACTTAGTTGCGAGGACCCGATGCCTAGAGGGGATCGGCAAGCTCCCTAGATCAGGCCGAATCCCCGAGTGTGTCGCACACAAGCTGCGTAGAAGGTGAAAGACCGTCATGAGTATGTCGACATAGAGCATAGGGTTGCTGAGCTAGCTGACATTCAAACGAGGTTTCTCAAGGTATGATAGTGCCGTCGTTTGCATCAGAGCTCTGGGCTCCAGTTTCTGAGAGGGCGTGGACGTTTTAGGCGCCAGCATGAGCACACGGGGTACCGGTACTCACAGGCTGCAGGCTAAATATGCACTCAGCGATCGTTGAGGTTGTCAGAGTTGCCAGCAGAGACTAGTGTAGGGCCTTTGTGGGCTTCTTGCTGGATCCAACATGCCCTCGGATAGTAAAACTTCTGCCTGTGCAGTTTCTTTGTTTCATGCACTACGGCTTGACTCGGATGTGGAAGCAGCTCAGCTCAGCTTCGTTGCAGCTTGCAAGGCCGATTGGAGCTTCATGAGTGACATGGGCAGACGGAAGGATGCAGCTTGCTGTGGTGGCAAAGTGTTAGCAGGATGCTGTGGCTGAATCCTTCCGTGCATCGCGAAGTGGCTGTAGTCGGTCCCACGGGGTCCCCAACTGTGAACACGTACTGAGAGGTGTATACGCGGACAATTCAGCTGTTTCCAAGTATTCCCACTGGATTGCACGAATTCAGCGTCTCACATGTTTCATGATTATCTTGCCGCGTGTAGAAGATTCTGAGATGTCAACGTCTGACGCTTACAAGCATATTTGTGTGGCTGATGTTGTGGACATGCACTACGAGGCAGGGCCATATCAGAGGGTGAACATTAGCTTCTAAGAAGCTCACTTCACCTGCCAACCCATTGTGGACTTGCAGAGCAAGTGCCTTCTGAAGTTTTCCCACTCGGGTGACGACCTAGCAGTGCAAATGCTGCTTGTCCCACGGGTCGGAGTCGAGTCGCATGCCTCCGTGGCTGGAGCCACTAGCTGCCATAGCTGAACTACCACACGACAGCTGCTCGACAGTTCGTGCGCGGGGGCAGCGCGCCTCCAGTCTCCAGTCGCTCTTGCGATGGCAAGATGTGTGTGTTTGCAACAAGCGAGTTGTCGAAAAGTGAGATGCGGCTGGAGAGTTTCGTGCTACAGTGTTGCTTGCTGCCAGCTTTGCGAGGTCTGAATGTCGCAAGGTTTGAGTCGCAGTTGCAGCCCATCGCTGCGTCCAGGTAATGGTCACACCTGAGTTGTGGAAGCCCAGTCCCGACACATTGGCTCGCCGTGGCTCGCCCTGCTCAGTCTCAGCCCAAAGCGCAGGGTCCTACGGGGTGGGAAGCGGCCATGAAGCGGAACACGAAGGCCGGGTGTGGGCCGGGCCCTGGGAACAGAAGCCGCGAGATGCCGCGCGATGCCGCGCCGCGATGCCGCGCTGCGCAGGCGCGCGAGAGTGCCTTGTCGATGGCAGCGCGGCCTCTCTACTCGGCTCTTCGGCGCAAGCAGACGATGCCTTCCAACAGGGTTTTGGGGGTATCCCACGGTATCCCACACCTTAGGTCTGCTGCGTGCGCTACAAGGAGATCAAGGTGCTGGGGACGACAAAAATCTGTGTGGGTCCCTACTGTAGCGGCTTCGTCGCAGCATCTTCAGGAAGAGGAGCCGAGCGCGGTTTCCGGGCCCCAGCTGCTGGGCTTTGCAGAGCCCTCGGGAGGTGCGGGGGCCCTCGTCAGTGAGCCTGTGGCATGGGTCCAAGCAGCCTGGCAGGTCCTTACTTCATTCTGGCCTTGTTGCTGGATGTGAACAGTCTCTGGCACTGCCGGCAACTTTCTGCAGGCTTTGCGTGGATAGCATGTAAACCTACTGTATCAAGAACACGAGGAACGACTGCGCAAATGGCAGGCGGCGCCTTGGATCCAACCTTCACTTCCCTTGCCAAGCTTCCCGAAAGCTTCTGCATTACAACCGTTCCCAAGGCCCCAGCTTTGGGCTTTGGTATCCACCCAGCCGAAACCGGAACTTGATCCCATTATACTTATACTTCTGAAACTTATTTAAACCACTGAGCTTGCGAGATCTGAGCGATGATGGATGAAATCTGAGCGATGATGAGCAGCTAGCCTGAAAGCTCGTTTTGTAAATGTTCCTGCTCCTTCGGTCAACACGACGCACCTGACAGAGTGGTGTCCTCTTGCCAGTCGCATGGATGCCACGTGCCGATTGCCCGGAGCCTGGATTAAAGCAAGTTTGCCCTCACAGGACAAGTCAGTCAACTTCGACGGGAGCCATGGCTTTGCAAAGAGAGCCGCACAAACCTTTGCACCACTGAAAGATGCCTGTTGAGCCTGCATTGGCTAAAGCCGTGGTACAGCTTCAGGTTGCACAAGAGAGGACAGTTTACCGAGGTGTCTGTTGCAGAATTTCAGTCCAGAGTTCGGTGTAAGGCCTTCGGGCTATTGCTGTTGCGAGGTAGGCGTAACCCAGTCAACATGAGGTCGAAATGCCATGTCTCAGAGAACCGTAACATTCACAACTCCAGTAGCTCCGCGCACGCGAAATGGTAGGGAACTTGCTGCCATGCCGACTGCGCACCGAGAAGGCTCGATTCCTCTTCGCTTCTCAGCTCTCTCGCGGGTGCCGTCACGCCGCTTCAAGCGTTCGTGCAAGGATCCTTGGAGCTTGAGCCACTCAGATCAAAAGACATTAGGCAAGTCTTTGATGTATCTCTCTGCAAAACTACATCTGATTGGCCCAAGGTGTGATGCAAATCGGACCCCGAATGCTGAAATCTCCTGCTTAAGGCTCGCGTGATGTTCTTTTGGCAAGAGCAGCTGCGCATGCGGTGCTGAGATAAGGTGAGACAAACGTGACATGACGAAGGGTACTGGGTAAGCTTGTTGTTGTGGGCACGCTGCAGTTTTTGCACTTCCGGAGTGTTGTGAAGAGGGCTGGGTGTGCAGCGGGTGCGGCTCTATCCATGCGAAATCGGTGCTGGGTGCTGAGAGTCAGACAGGGTGATGCGATGTCTCTTCCCACCCTGTCCTTGCGCGACAGCTCGTGCACAGTTTGCAGATGGGACATGCTTCTTCCCGGCATGAGTTTTGATGACCCCGAACCATCCAACGCATATGAGAGCTGATCGCAGTCCCTGTCTTCCTCCAGTGGGTTTCACCTGCTCTGGCAGGCGATTTCTGTGTTGGGCAGGCTTCTTCGTCCCAGCTGCTCGGCTGCGGCCCTGTAGCCAGAGATGTGAGCGCAAGCTGTGAAGTTTGTCACTCCAGTGTTCCATCCATGCATTTCAGCATCGCAAGGTCTGTTGCGAGGTTTGCCTGCATGCGAAGCAGGGGTTCAACAAGTCCGAGATCTTGCGAGAGGATGGTCTGTTGCCACCGCAGCTGGTAGCGGCCTCATCTTTATCGATGAAACGGGTGAAGGAAGAATATCCACCCCCCCCCCCCCCAATTGGCTTGTACGAAGGATGAATTCCTCACTTTTGCAGAGCTGGTCTGCCGTGTCTGTTTGGCACAGGCGTGGATGCTTGCTGAAGGGTGTAGTTCAAGCAAACAGCCCACCACATCTTGCAAATGTTCTTGTGCTGGCTTCATGTTATTACTAAATCAGACTCATGGGAGGAAAGTGTCTCTAGCTTTGTAGGTGCAGTCAATCCAGCTGCCTCGCGATCATGACATAAGGGATCTTAGCAGTGCTGGGGATCTGTTACGAGATGCTTGAGGAACGCTTGTTTACGCAGGTCCTCATGTTCATGGTCTGGCAATTTGGCCGGGCACTGGCGCACAACAAGGTGCCTGGTTCTTCAAGCTCTACTTTTTACTAGGTGCTCTGGGCAAGTTCCTGTTGTGGTGTTGGGTTTTGCCCCGGCTCAGCCCTCGCTCTCCCTCTTTCGCTGGCCCTAGTTGCCTACGTAGGTTTTGACACTTACTGTCAAGACCTACACATACTCGTTACTCGTGTAGTGGCTAGCCATCCTTCTTATTGCACTTGTTTCTCCTTTTGTCTGTGCATCCTGTGCATTTGCCTGCGCACGCCTTCATCAGCAGAGCACGAAATGCACTAGTTGTGAGAGCCACTGGCCTTGTCACCAGAAAGACTCCAGTGACGCATTGATGCTAGTCCACGGTATGCGTCTGTCTTTTCAAAGGCTTTGTTGTGACACATTGGCTGTCAGCCTATCACATGAGGTGTGTCAGTTGCTGAGCAGTTGCCAGCACTCCACGCCTTCGCGGCTGTTGCCAGCACTGGCTCTTGCGCTCTTCACGTGACCTGGGCAGCAGAGCACTGACAGTCTGTTTGCCTTGCACTTGAGAAGACCCAGGTTCGCTATTGGCGTTTGGGGTTGCAATGTGGGCGACGAGGGACTGCCGGCATGGGCATTGAGCTACAGCTGTGCGCCCAGGGCCCACAGGGCCCACAGGGCCCATGGAGCTGATGGTCGCTGTGCGGCACACACTGCGCTTTTCGCCTAGGTCACGTCTGCGACATCTTCTGCCACGGCATCGTGGCATCGGCGCTGATGGGCCTAGGCACGAGCCTCGAATGCGGCAGCAGATTGTGACGATGGGAAGTGGGATGGTGTTGTGGTCTAGTATCACGATAAGTCGATAAGAATGGTTAGAATCTCCACACATCCTTGGCACGATATGAGGTTGAAGGTGATGCTTCGACATGTCGATGTGTGAGATAGCCCTCGTGCATCTGCGAACAGGGCACTCGGGGGGCAAATGCAAGCGCAGTTCAGAGCTAGGATGCTATAGGCACCCTTCATGCCGGTCGGTCGAAATTGATGCAACGTCGTCGTCATGGCGTGCCAGGTCCCAGGTCTGCCAGTTTTAGCACACATGGTATGACCACGAGACGTAGCCTCACTCGACCTGAATCCATGCTGGAGTTTGGTGCTGCGGTTGCCCTCAGGATTTGACGTGGTACGAGCAGCACGTGAGGTGCCTTGACAAGTCCGCGTCTGGCAATTCAATTGCTCAACCATTCCCCGGATAGAACCGAGGGATGGCTGTTGAACCTCTTCAAGCAGTTCGTGTTCTGCCTTGAGCTGATTTACCTCCATGCGTGAAACGTGGCCTTGTGTCACGGTCCGCCTTGAGGTCAGGACACCGTGGAAGCGCACGGAGTTTCTGGTCGCGAGGGTGAGACAGAGTTTGGCGGCCTCCCCTTGCACTCAGCATACGTTGCACGACATAGGCTCTTTGGTGCAGGCTCATGGACTCCTTGGCATCACGTTTGTCAGGTCAATTCCTGACCCTATCCTTCCACAGCACGCAGTCTGCCTCTGAAGCACATGCTGGCCACAAGAGCCTGTGCGACATTCTGCGGATCTGTTACTGGGTGGCAGCTTTCTCCATAGCTTGGTAGGAGGTCGAATTGTTCCGCTGGACATATTCCGTAATCCTACTGTGCTTGCCTCATGATCGCCGAAGTCGGCTTGACTTGCACACTGTGAACCAGATTTGATGCAAGTATGTAAATGCGGAGACGGGCTGTCAGCAAATCCCCAAGCCTGGCGAGGCTTCATGTGGACATCTTTTCTTTTCATGCTGTGGGCCTACACACTATCTGTGTACTTTCCTGGCCTTGCATCATGGTTGCAATCATCATGGCCACGAGGGCACAGGTTTCTGTTTTGTATTTTGCATCAGCGCATTTCACAACATGATGAAGGGATGCTACATTTGATTGTCGACCTGCAGTCATCCACCGAATGCTTGCATGAAAGGGGCCAGGTGCTCCAGCATTCGAGTTCACTGCAGAATGAGCACTGGCATTGCTCAAAGGCCCCAGAGTGGATTGGGACATTCGTGGACTTCGTGGGCAGACCCTGCGCTGAAGGATGAAAGCGAGGATTCGTGTGAGTGTGTGCAGAGACATGTCTCTTCACGTGGTCTTGGTTGGGATGTACCCTAGTTACCAAGGATTCTGCTGGGCCGGCATTAGCTTCTGGCTTGTGTCCTGTGCTCTCAGCATGCGAGGTGGCTCTGCAGTTTAGGTTTAGATGCAGGAATTTGAACTGGCGTCTCACTTCTCAGTCTTACAGGATGATCATGTCGACGTTCGGCGATTGTGAGAAACATTAAAGCCATGTTCTCTGCAAAGCAACTCCGTCCCATCGGCAGATACCGCCAGATGCCATCGACGGGAAGCTAATCCCGGCCCGGCACCTGATTACTTGACACGGCACAAACGTGCTTGTATGCTCGCGACGAAGGCAGTGCTGTTTCGCCCAAGGTCAAAGCGGCGACCTCCCTACCGCTCGGCCAGACGTCGCTTGCCGGCAGGGCCGATCCTGCTTCAGTAGGCCCTTGTAAGCCGTCCATCATATCGGGCGCGGGGCTCAAGCTGCCCGCGTGATTCAAGCTGCATGCGCAATCTAGCATGGATTTGCCACTTTCACTCGTCTCCCAGACTCCTCCTTCCTCGCATTCGGTTCGGGGCGTAGTGGGAGTGCTGTGCGGCACTCGTGGGTGACGTCCTTATAGCCCCCCCCCGGCCCACTCTCTCCACTACCTATGCTTTCGGCCTTTTTCCTGACGTCATCTCAAAATTGCGTGCGTCCCGAGAGAGTGCGAATCCTTTCTAATTAGATTCCCATACATTCTTGGGCTTGCGACCCAAAACCCTACTTGAAGCGGGTTCCCTGGGGCCGAATCCATTGTGATTTACTTTGGCCTATAATGTGACTTAAGCTCATTAAACTCTGAAACTGCGTGTGCCTTAAGCCCTCTGCATCTCGAAGACCGAGGCTGAGGATACCGCCGAGGTCGGTGTCACAGCTGGTGGACGACCGCTTCTCACAACCGCGCTCGCCTCCACATGCCAGGCAAGCAGGTTGAATCCTTTTTATGTGTGACAGTTTTACATGCTCCCCCAAAGACAAGCAGGGCGCAGCGAGCAACGACATGCTGACGCCGGCCAGATAGGTCCAGGCAGTCGTTTCAATATCAGCATTGCGGTATGTGGGGATGCTCTATTGGCTAGACTTGCATCACTGCATCAGTTCAGTTCCACAAATTTAAAGAGCCAAAGTTGTCACGATTTTGAAGCTGCTGGTTCTTGCATTGCAGAGATAATGAAACCAGGGTAGCTAGATGGACTTTCGTATCAGGCTGGCCGGTGTTGTGATCAGGTCTGATGCAGTGCCCGGCGTTGAGGCGACCTGAAGTTGGTTCTCTCTTTGTACAGCCACGTTGCCTCCAAAGCTGCGACGCGTCAGGGAATTGCCATCCTAGTGCTAGGCAGCGCGTTTTCAGAGCTGCCAAGCTTGCTGTCCAACGATTTCTGCATGCTTCTGCATTGACGATCGATTGCTGAGCAGGCACGCGGGTTTGTTATCGATCCGCAAGTTCGGAGGCAAAGCCTGATTTGTCAATGTACTTAACACGATGGCCAGTGCCATCGTTGCATCTCCGATGTGTCTTCATTACCGCCGACATTTAGAGGCCGAGAGGGGTGGTTGAATGTAGTGTACAGACCCGCTGGAGATCTGTGCTTGTCGGCCTGTTCTTCCGAAACGACTCCGAAACGTGGTGTCTACCACCCGGCGATGTAGCACGGGCCAGCACGAGGTGGTCCTGCACGCAACGGTGTGCCGCAGAAAAGCTTGGCTTTCCACTCATAGCGTGCAATTGTTGACAACAAGGCTTCGGCAGCTCAGCCGAGCAACCATGGGCCCGTGGCGCGAATTGGGTGCCTCTGCGGGGCGCTATGCTTCTCAGTGGATGCATCCAATGCACACTAAGCCGGGATCCCGGTGCCATCCGGAGCCCAGAGGCCTACCGTGGTATGGAGCTGGAGCGAGACGGCACCTTCGAACAGCCAGCGCGGGCCCCTGTTCCCGCAGAGGTGTCTGCAGCTGTGAGGATCTGCGAGAACGACAGCCGCTCGCAAGTTGCACTCTTGCAATTCTACTGCTCGTGCTGTGTTAATTAAGCCTAAGGGAGTTTGTCGGTATAAAGCAGGACATGAGCGTTGAGTGGCCAAGCATGGTCAGACAGAGCAGCGCAGGAGTCTGCCGACATCCAAAGCAACTCTAGGCATTGCCGTGGCTGGGATTCGCGGTGGTGTGAGATAAGATTTCGCTTCAGATCAGTTGGAGCTAAAAGAAGAGTCTTTGGCCAAGGCATGTCACTACTGCAGTAGTCGCCGCTTGTCATGAAAGCATACGCCTCCCGCGGGCAGCGCTGCCGTGGGCCAGGAAGTTGACGCGGGTGGATTGGAAAGGGCGGTTCCAGCACTTTAAGCACAACGCCGGACTCCAAGATGTGAGTCTCGTACCTGCGCATGCTGCAAGCAGATGGAGTCCACATCAGTGTTTTCTATGTTGGATCGCTAGAGTTGCCACCCAGATACCCACTTTTTGCACGCCATTCGGTGGTCGTGAGATCACCTGCGTGGCACACCCGGACGAGGCGCCATGGGTCCCTAGATCTTTAGTATGCTGTTTCCACTCCCCAGTAGCCATGTCGATCCGCATATTCCGGCCCCCGCACGGCTGCAACTGACTGACTCCATCCACGTGTCGGCCAAGCCCCTCACTCCGAGCACCCTGCTGGGGTGTCTGACGGGTTCGAGCGAGCCCCACTAAAGCAACTCCGGTTCTTCCCGTGCAGCAGCACACTCGCGGCACCAGACCGGGCCATCCAAGAGCCTGTAAGACACTTACCTATACAGGTGAGGTTATTCAACATAAAGAATCTGCTCCGCTTGTTGTATCTGCTCCAGAAATGGCCCAGCAAGAACTTCGTTGACTCCTGACCGTAGCCGGTAGCCCTGCCACTCCAAGAAAGAACATCTGCATTTGCCCGCAGGTGGCGTACCTAAGGTGTCGCCTCTGCACGGATGTGGTGCGTGCCAGCACGCAGGGAGTCTATCTCGAGGCCCAAGCAGCTCTCATTGGAAGCAGCGAGCGGAGCACTGTCGCGATTCAGGTAGAGGTTGCAACAAACCCGGACAACCTCAGCATGGCGGTTGTGGATTTCGAGGCTGGACATAGCTACACCTTTGAGCTTACGTTCAACATAGCCCTGCTTTTAATCGTACTTCGTCTGGAGCTTGCAGGCAGGCGGCTGCAGCAGCGTGACCTTCAGCACTGATCCAAGATCAACTCCAAATGCCTAGAGAACACGGCGGCGGATGCGAAAGTAAAAGAATCTCTCAGATGTCTCAATTTTCCTAGGTCCGGACACCGGGGCAGTGATTCGGGAGCGGAAAGTGCGTGAAGCGCCACGGAAGGCCACAAAGCGGGAGCAACGCAGTGAACTTGTGGTATGATGTAGTGAAGACTCAAGCAAACAGCAGAAGTGACTCTGTTTACGGCAAGTTTTTCGCAGCAATTTGCAACAGCTGCTTGGATCGCAGGTTGAGGGCGCGTACATCCAGCCCTTGCCAACGGCCGGGGTCATGGATGCAAATCGCCTTTTCTCAGTCTTTCGCATAGCAAGCTTGCAGCAGTACGTAAACGCTTCCGGTGTCAGACGAATGAAAGCATAGGTGACAACGGGCCGCCCTTTTCATGGGCTGATGGGCGGCTTGTCCGCATAGAGAGGGCGGTGGAGGGCTTCAGGGATGGCCTGATCTTGACGTCTCGTCAAGGTCTCTACCTGTGCAAGGACAGACTGGCGTTCTTCAGGAGGCACAAGAGATCGCAAGAGCACGTGCAGATACTCCGTACCCAGTCTTGTCTTGCCATCGCGCTCAGGTGCGAGGTGCCGGCGGCGCCGGTTGAAGGCGGAGCATCTTAAGCTCGGCAGTCAGAGAAGCACGGTCAGTGGTGGCTTCTTCCAAAGGTGGCGCTCAGAGCGATTCAAACACACCGCCAGCCTGGACCTAACACGCCAATGGCGCAGCTCAACTCGAAGATGTTGGGACATGCTCTGCTCTTGGCAACTTTGCAGGGGCTGGCAGGTGGCAGGTGGGAGCCTCTGTCAGGAGCTGCCCCTCGTAGCCGCTGCCTCAGCCTGTGCTGTGCCCGGAGGTTCTTCCCGCCTCTCCGCGGTCGACCCGAGCCAGGCTCGGGTCGCTGAAGCAGAGAGCCGAGCGGCCTGCACAGCCCCTGCCCTGCAGACCGAACAGAGATGGGGCCGTGGGAGACCACGGGCTTTGTCTCTGACTTGGACTGGGCAGAGGCGGAAACTACTCACCAGCAGCGCATGGGATGGTACAGCTTGCATCCTGGGACAGGGCCGTCGCCTGACGCCATGCCTCGCCTTCCGCGATGAGGGCGCCTACCGCGTAGCCTGGCTCTGGTCGAAAGTTGAGTCCAGGGGGTAAAGAGCAATGATCAGATTTCGGAACACGGTCCAGGTGCCAAAGACAGACCCGTTGTTAACAGGCAGGAGTAACATGGAGAAACGATGCCCGGAAAGAAGTACTCTCAAGCAGCGCCATGGCGAAGAGAAGCTTGCGATGCACCTCTGGGAGGAACGGCCGTCAGCTCACTGAAACGTGGCCCAAAGAACTCTCACTGCGTTTTTCTTTCGGAGAAGCCCCGGGATCCATCGAGAATTCGAACCGTCGTTGATCTGAGCTTCGTTCACACACGAGAAGCGTGCGACTAACGAATGAGCAGTAGCAGTAGCATGTTCCCATCATCGCATATTTCAAGGCGAGTGTGGTGTTTCTCAGGTCGTTTTGCAGAGGTTTCAATGTGGCGAGGGCAGTCGAGCTTAACATGTTCCAGGATCACTAACCATCGGCCAATCTAGGTTTTGATTTTTCACAAGCGTGCTGTGGAACGCAAGGGAAGGAGGCACCAACGTCAATGTCAACACCATGGGCAACTTTCTAAAGAGACGACTACCACAATGCAAGACAATGCTCAAGGTGGTATCCTGATCTTCTTGCGACTCAGGATTGCCTTTTGTTTTTGCCCGAAGTATTGCGCAGTGGGTTTTACGGCGAGCACTGCGCAGCTGATCTTATCAATTGTGGCACCACGGCACCAGGTCCGAATTGTGAGAATTGGCCGGACCCCTGGAGACTTGCGCTATGCTGCATTCGTGCTCGAATCAGGGCCACTGTGCACACGGCCAGGTGCAACGCCACCGATCGACGTACAGAGTGCCTCTTGGACGCACATCAAAAAGCCCTTGCAGCTTGAGGAAGCTTGCGACAATCGCTCTCGTTTCGGTGCATGAGGCCTCCCAGTCTGGCTCCAAAATTCGTGAACAGGAGCTGACACCCTGCCACTGCACGACAGGGTACCTGGGGATGTTCTTTCTTCAAAGGGTGGCAGACTGCAACATTTCTGCTCGTGGTAAGTCGCATTGGTCCATGATGATCTCGGCCGTTACCTGCTCGAACCTGGATCTAAGACTGCTTTGGTTTGCGCAAGCCATGCTTCTACTCATACTGTTTTGCCTCGCCAGCCTCACGTCTACAGTGAGAATTAAGGAGGAGGAGGAGGAGGATGTTCAGGTGAAGGAGCCGACAATACAATGGCACCAGTCAGAGAGATGCCAGGACCTGCTTTAGCAAAAAGCGCAGTCATCCTGGTCCTGGAACGTCTCGTTTCGATGATCTTAAGCCGTAAGCTTGAATATCACTTCTTGCCCGCTGCAGGAGGTGAAGGAATTTGCGCCAGACCCTGCTGTACTGAAGATCAACCTAGACCTGTCCAAAGTGCCGCCGGCCTCAGTCGACGGGGCGAAAGCAAACAACCTGTGACCCGTGCTTCAGCGACGGCTGAGGTTTTCTGCGCTGTCAGGCGAGGCTCTTGTGGCCATCGAGGGCATCGAGAACATGAGCTGCAGCCTGAACCTGGAAATCAGGCGCCAGCTTCACAGTGTGCTTCGTCGTAGCAGACTCGGATTAACGTTTTGCGCCCCTCGAACAGGAAGTCGGTGGGCTTTGAGGAGATCGAGCTGGCGGTGACGTCCAGGTCACTGCTGAAAGGTGACCTCCAAGGAGTCGTCCTGTCCATGCCCGGCATTCCGACAACGGCCTTCAGAAAAGTTTCCTTCAAGGCAAAAGCGAAAGACCCGCGTTTGCCACTGCTGTCGCTGTCGGCGAAGGTTCTGAAGCAGAACGGCCGGAACGTCCTGAAATTTCCAAAAGAGGATCGAGACATCAACCTCAAGCTCGAAGATCTCAAGGTGTTGAAAGATCTACGAAACGACATGATACCTCTAAGTCTCTAAGTCTAGGAATCAGATTGAAAGTGCCAGTCCTGTTGCCAGGTGAGCGGGAATGGGACTTACTGGAGTGGAACGGTGGCCCGCCTGGCAAACCTCTTCAACCGGGTGGGCGCCGTCAACATCAAGGCCGAAAGTCCAAAGCAGATCGCACTGCAGTAGGGAGAAGAAGGGTCTTTCGCAATTCGAGGCTTTCCAGCAGATCCTTGCCGCGTTGGTCTTCCGATTTGTGGTGAACCTGGCAAACGAGGCGATCCCGTCTGAGCTTCTCGGGTTGATTGGGAGCAAGGATCATGGCATGCTCGCTGACTTGGTGATACACGTGGGGTTCTATGGTGCCGGCAATCCAGAGGATCCAGAAATGTCGCTGTTTGTGGCTTCGAGAAGCCTCGCTATTGAAACGTCACATGCAGGCTGGTGAGGTTTTGCTTCAGCAGTAATTCTAGACCTAGACTGTGGAAACCTGCTCTGAAGATGCTAAAAGCGCCTGGAGGTTTGACGGACTTCGTGAATGGTGCTTTCGATGGCCTGCGGGAACTTGGCTTGTCTGATGATTTCGAGAAGAGTCGTCAGAATCTCCTGAAGTTGGCCGTGGAAGAAGAGTTGAACACGGACATCAACGTTTCCAACTTCATGGCCGCAGACATTTTGGACTCCCATCCCAATGGTTGGGGACCCGGCATAAGCATCAGCGTTAAGATGGACATGACCGGAACGGCAGTGGATGTATGGAATCTGGAGGAAGGTGAAGCTGCAGGCTTTGAGGACCTCGAGGAACTGGAGCTAGCAAAAGACTTCCCCGACATGCCCTTCATGAGCTTTGGAGAGTCCTGTCTGCACAACAAGAGTTGGATCGATGCGACAAGGAGCTGCAGAAACTGGGCCCTGGATGCAAGGACCTCGCTCGGCGAGAGGGATGTAAATGACATTGGTTTCGAGCAGTCCATGCAGTTGTTTGGGTCATGGGTACACCTGGCTTTGAAGAAGGCCTTTCCATCTCTATTCCGGAGGCCTTTGGAAGGGCAGGTTCTTGCCACAACACAGCAATGGAAAGAGAACTGCCGTTATGCCATGCTCTCCCTACCTTCTGGCGAGTGGTGGACTCCGCTCTTGGCCGTTTACGAAGTTCTTCAAATCTACAATCCGGACGTGTCTGAGCTTCACGATGTTTGGAAGAATTTCCGCTTGGTCGCCATGCTTCGCCAAACAACTTACACACATCCCGTGGCAGGGCGAATGGTGGCCATCGGGGAAGGTGTGAAACACGGACCCTCATTTAGAATGAGCTATGCCGGAAAGTGGCATGATCTTCTCAAGCTTGTTCCGCCAGGAATCTTGTACTTGTAGTGCATAGTGCACCTCCTGCACAGCTCTGGACAAAAGCAGCCAAGCAAAAGCATCTGCACTGACCAGCTTTGGGTAGATCTGTGAAACTGCCGTGAGGACTGGAGAACCAGCTGGAGCGGCTTCGACTGGGAGGCGCATCTCTGCCGATCCCAGTAAAGGAAGCCACGGCAGGAGTCGCGTGACACACCGTGATGCTGCGGTGCTAGCTGGGCAGAGTCGCTGAGAAGGTCGGCTCAACAGAGCTTGCGGCGCCGACGTCCACCTAAGGGTGCGAAGTGGCCTCATTGAATTTCTCTGTTTGGCTGCTTGTTTTGGAGTGATTCGGCAATGAGAGCTGTCGCATCCGCAGACACAGGCCCAGAGCAGCGGCACTCTAAGAGCAGCAGCACAGGACTCACAAAGGTCTGGTTGAGAGTCAGCCTTGTACATAACAGAGCCCAATAAAATCCCAAGCAGACATGGCGAGACTTGCAGTGCCACTCTTAGCTCCACAGAGCCTTCACCTTATGTCTTATGTCAGCTCTGAGACGGCATCACCAAGGTGCTGACCGTCTGCCTCTTTTCAGAGGCCGTGGCCCATTCGCCCCAAGGCGTTGGCCTGATCGTAGACAGAGAAGCAACTCACTGACTGGGGTTTTAGGTTCCAATGGAGAGCGCATGCGTGGCAGCCGGCGACTCTGGGACATCGCGGCGCGAGATGCTTGATCAGAAAGACTGGCCACTTTCATGGTGAAACTCGCATGCTGACCAAGACGGTGGTTCCGAATGCAAAGCACTGCAAGACCTCACGTGTGGCTGAGGAGAAGCACATCTGGGGTCGATGCGATCGCTGGGATGCCAAGGCTGGTGGTTTTGATCGCAGAGTGGCTCTGAGCTCAGACGGCTGCCTGGGAAGGTCAGCGGATGCGAGCTGAACTCTGAGTACAAGTGCAGCGAGCTGGCAGCATTGGGTCACGAAGTCCTGTCTGCGAGGGTGTGTGGACAGGCTGCAGCAGTGCATTGACCTGTTCAGGTGACCGTCTCTCGGAAGGTCCAGAACAGCTGCTTGGTGCAGGGATCTTCTCACATTCAATTAGAGATTTTGAGACGGGGGTGAGATGTGGCACGTGAGACAACAGACGACGGCGAGGTATGATATGGAGATTGTTCTTGGAAACTTGACACCCTCGAGAGATGGTCATCCTGTGCATTTGGCATGGTGGGCGCTTACCTTAGAGTTTCTTCACAGCCGTCAGGCATGAGGTGCGCAGGTTCAAGATGTCTGGGGGGAGTGGAGATGCTTTTCTAGGCTCCTCAGAAGTCCCAGACGGCCTGGAATCCCCATGACAGCCTCGAAGGCAGCGTCTCAGCCTCGCGATCTGATATTGCCTCCAGTGTATGGACCTTGTGCTGTCAGTCCGATTAGTCCAGTTGGCGGTTTCGCCAGCTCTGTAGCGAATAGCCGGTTGTGCTGTCTGGCACATCGGATGCAGGTTGCGCGGTGTACAGGGACATGAACGAGGCGTACCCAGACTTCACAGACCCGAACTTCAACGGCGGCAACTTGGTGGTCGGGCCTTGGGCGCTGCCTTTCCTGTTCACTGTCCTGTCGCAATATGTCTTGCATTGGAGGTAAGTGAGACTGGCACAGTGACCATACGTGTGCAGAGCCCAAGCTCAATAGAAGCAACCTTTGTGCCGCCCTGCTCTGTCAACAGAGTTGAGCGCCGTCAGTTTAGGAATCCTGCCACTTACTTCGTGACACATTGGATTTCTGTGCCTCACATCCACCTCCGCCTGTGCAGCAATGCCTGGGCCTTAGCTGCCAGGGAGTAGTGTAGTCATTTTGGTCAGGTGAGCTGGGCTTATCGTTGCTCCCCAGTGTATATACTCAAGGACACCTTTGCGCACACCACGCAAGATGCGATCATCTTCGTGAGAAATGGAGCCGAGCTGGTTGCTGGTGAGGCCACGGGACGCGAGAACTCCTTCAGGATCAGCCTACCTGAACAGGGGTTTAGCGTCTGCAGGCCGGGTCCTCGCTTCAGATCGTCAGCGTGAAGAACTACACTTGGACCGAGCGGCCGGGAACCGGCAACGTGAGTCGCGGCCCCGGGCGAGAAAGTGCTCTGTGTGGTCGTAGAGGTGTCCTCTTCTGTCATCGTCGTCACTCTCAACCTAACGTAGGGGTGTTGGCCCCGCGAAAAGTGCTAGTTCTTACTGAGCTTGGTAAAAGATGTCAGATGAGCCACTCCGTTTGCCTGCATTGCAACAGCAGCTTGATGATACATAGCGAGAGAACAAGCAGGAAAGGCAAATTGCTGAGTCGCGTGGCAAGGCATTGTTCAGCGACGCTGAAGCTTCATGACTCAGGGCTGGTGTGAAACAGGGTGCATTCCGCTCGGTAAAAAACGCTGCTCTTCAGTTTGGGCTTAAACCGGTGCTGAGCCCTTTGGGTTGTGGGCTGGTTTCGGTCGTGCAGGCCTGACGACCGAACCATTCTCATCTTCTGACCTACCGTTTCTGAGCGTCAGCACAGCATGAACTCCTTGCCGCGACCATAGAGTCTTTCGCTCCTGAGGTGACACGGGCATTGCTGGCATCCTGGTGTGGAGAAGGGTGCGGTGCATTCCCGAAACACTCACAAGGTCTTTATTCTTTTTCTGTGTTCCAGGAGGGTACCACGACCACCTTGGCACCGGGCCAGATCCAGCAGCTTGTCGAGGACACGATGGACAGGATGAACTTGGCCTCTTGGAAACAGAAGATCCGGCACCAAGCTGACACTTTTTCGGTTCGGATGTAAGTGAAGCTCAGGATGCATTGGAGTTTTCGCCGATTTATCAGTGCTTTGAAAACGATCAGCTTTACGACCACTTCACCGCAGATTGTTCCTTGGTCGCAACTCGAAGCGTAGCTGAGTCTTCTTGGAATCGCTGTGTGACCGCTGCGTTGCAGGTACGACGAGCTGCGGTGGTGGTGCAGAGGTGGCCCACGGCCAGTGTTCCTCGGCAGAGACGTTCAAGGTGAGACCAGGAGATGCTGGCAAAGCTGGGAATAGGAGAAGAGAAACCGGAGAGAAGCATGAGAAGGCCATCCAACAAACAAAAGTCAAGACCACAACTATTTATCGGTGCTCTTCGGGTTGTATCATCACAGGTCATCTCAGTATATCTCACTATCAGACCGCATTTGCTCTGTGGCGCCGGCCGAGGTGTGCGACCCGCACGCTTTCCGGAATCCAGCGTCGTGGGCATCTGGCAGCTCATGGGCACCTGCAACGAGGAGCGCAGGGACGCCGGCCGAAGGGACGCCCCAGCCCTTGCACACGTGCATGGCATTGCAGGCTTGCTGGAGCCAGTGGAAGAATGTAACCCTCCACGACGCCAGGCAAGTGCTTTTCGGCTGTGTTATTTTATCCCAGCTCGTATGAAGAGAGGCTTGCACTGGCAGATCTGCTGGACGTTCCCTTTCAGGCGCTCACCTTGCAATCTGGCTTGTCGCACTAGCCTGGCCTTGCAGTCGATTGCGTGTTCCGTGCTGGTTGCCGAAGACAGCAGTATCGCGCGTCCAGCACGGATCAGCAATCTCCAGGAGATCCAGAAGGTCTCGATGACTTTCCATGCATCTGCGGGGCGCCGGCTGAGCACTGACAAGTTGGCAACCTTTCAGGCGGGGACGGGCGCCGTAGGAAGGGTTGCACGGGGATCTGCAGGGCGCTGCTTGCTGGCCGTGTTTGTCCCTGAAGATCATGGTGACCACGAAGCGCTTGCCCAAGAACGACATCAACACCCTCATGCGAACTTTCTTGACTGATCCGGCCGTTGCGGCAGATGCTTGCTTGAAATAAATGTGTCTGCATGGCGATCCGATCCCGGCACAGAGCACCTCGAGCGGAAGCCAAGGATGTCATGAACTTCCCGGTGTCCCAGGCTCCGCTCGGTGGAAGCGGGTAGGCAGCCAGGACACGGACCTCGGGGCTCGCAGGTCACGATGACGGACATGAACGACCAGGGAGAATGGAGAAACGTCGAAACTGGATCCAGCCTCGGAAAGCTCCCAAGCACTGCCTTCTCCGATGCGCGATGCAGTTCTGTCATGTTGCCGACATGCAGCTCAAGCAGCATTGACTTGGAACATGTTGAATGTACCTCCTTGTATGATGGTGGCCTTGAAAACCCACGAAATCGAGCACCGCCTTTAAGTGCCTTGATCGCCCCAGCTTCACGGTTCCTGCTTTTTTGTTCGGACTGTGGAGCACCATGCAGCTGAAGCAGCGAACTCAGAGTTTGCACGTCTCATGGTGTCATGCCTATATTGTCCCAAGCGATGTGAATGTCAACCAGGCCCCTTTGTCTCGGCTGCTTCACCGCGAAATCTGTCGATGACGAGGTCCTAGGAAACTCCAGGTTCCTGACCTGTCATGCAACACATCACCTTGGGTTGCTAGAGGTGCGGCTGCCTCGAACGCCCAGCAGCGCAAGTGTACCCAAGGCCGTGCAGAGAGTCACCTCGGCAATCCAAATTTGCTTGACTTGTCAGGATGAGGTGATCCTTTCTCCGAAAGATGATGCTAGCTGCTTTCCGGACACCTCATCGGCTCACACTTGTAGTTCCGCAGTGTCCAAAAAGCAGCATGCCGTATGCCCGGCAGGAATTCCTCACCGGTCAGTGGAAGCAGGCCGGAACTGTGACCAGAAGCCTTCCGTTCTGTTGGCGGAAGCTTGACCCTGAGACCTTGTCGGACTGCAGCACCGTCCCGTCTGAGCCCACGCCGGAATGCCAGCGCAGCACAACGATGCTCACAGATCCCGAGAAGGCAGTTTAAGTTAATGCTTTGTGACGGCAGTCCTTCTGACACCCCAAGACTACCTCCATATGATCCCCAGAACAAGCTTTGTCATTCTAGTGACTCCCATATGCGCAGACAGATCTCACCAGCCTGTGAGCCGGCACGGTTGCCGGTAAGCGCTGGCGGTCCCCACACTGTCTCCTTCCCGATCTCCAGCCCAGGACATGAC